CCCGGCGGGAATGCTTCTGGTTTCTTTTCTTTTTCAGTTTTTGCTACTTTTTTTTTTAATTTCTTTTCGTTTTTCATAATTTATGGACATTATATGTGATGAGAAAAAAAACTGCGTTTATTTGCCACTAAAATCTATGGAGAAATATAAAGATTCCAATTTCCAATTACATAGTTCTGGCACTGTTCGATCAAGACAAATGCGAGAACAGAGACCGCAATTTATAGAGAAAAATGACGGTCCTATTGCCTGATTATTTTTTAAAAATAATAAAACGATAAATAAAAAAAAAATGGAAAAAGATGGATCCCTTATGAAAAAAGAAATCGGTTGTTGAATTGATTACACTTTCGGTCTTATCTACAACGAACCTCTGGTCTCTGTGGATTGGAGGGGAGCATCAAAATTTCACACAACAAACAAAGTAAGGTAAGAAAAGCAAAAGTGAAAAGGATAGGTTAAAAACGAATTAAGCTCGTCATAGCGTAGGCAGAATCTGGCTCAGCCAATTTAAGTGCATATATACCATTCATTCTTCATTCCCAATAGAATTGTTGATGTGGATCAGATTAGAATTAGATGGTTAAAATTTTGATATTTGATATTTCGGAAGAAAAGTGACGGCCTGCCTTCTTTCCATGAATGCAAGTAAAGAAAATTCCTTTTTTTATGAGTTTGAGAGCCTTGAGGGTAGGGGAGGGGACAAAGCAAGGAAAGGGAGTAACGGTAATGAAATGGGACCAAAACCTGGCGTCTCCACCGCCACCGCTTCCTCTTCTTCATCGCCGTCGTGTACAAAGTGCTGCAGCCGGGGCATAGAATGCGTGGCTAGGGCCTGCATACTGTGCACTTGTTGCCCCTTATGCATTGTTTGGTGTTGCGTCAAGCTACCATGCAAGGTTGGGTGGTATGCCGCCCGACGCCTGACGGGCACCTGTTGCAGATCGGACCTTAAGATCGTCGCCGCATCGTCATCATTTTCCGATATTGATTTTGAGAGTGAACCTAGTTTCGTAGACATTCGCTATAACAAGTATGTTACTCCAAACCCAAGGAGGAGGAGGAGGCGTGGGGGCACCCTTACCCCTGATTGAGTGTTGCTGTAGCCTTGTAGGTATTATGTATTTCTTAGAAAGAGACGAACATTGTTCTTGCAGATTCACCAGTTTATTAATTAAATACATGCATATACCTTCAAATTTTTTTTTTTAAATGGCTTGTGAATATCAAATGAAATTCTGTGATTCTGTGCATAAGACGCCTTGCCGGCCAGCATTATTATTCACGGCAAGCGCAACAAGCTTTCACCGTTGAGTTTTCTTTCTTTTGATATAATAGATTCGGGAATAGGGATTGCATTTTATCAAAACAAGTTATTCTAACCATCTATTGGTTACATTTGAGGCCCCGTTCGAAATTGGGTACGTTATTTATTGCGTAAATGCACCTAGGTAATTGTTTTTTAGGAAAGATTTATTCAAGTAAGTCTCATGTAAATAATGTAATGACCATTTTATCCATAAAAATCTATTATTACAAGGGGTATTTTTGATCCTTTTAAGTATTTGTAACTTTCCCCTAAAAGGTGAAAAAATTATTTATTCACCTAGGAGATAGGTATCACTTAATAAACTTTCCCTGGTCCCCACATAAATGTAAAAAAAGAATATAGGATTTCAGTCGATGGGAATCAAAATCCCATTGACCAACTTCCCCGCTCTCAAAATCCAGAAAAAAAAAAAAAACGCCCCCTGATTGGAATCGAATTTTGCAATCCATTTCTCTTGCTGAATCGTGAGAAATAGAAGGGAATAAGAGAATAAATTACAAAAAGAAAAAGTATAACATCACATGTAGACCTATTCATGGGCCAGGTAGCCCGATGGCCCGGCCCGGCCCGCACCCCGGTCAGGCTTGGCTATGTAATTAGGCCCGTGGGCCTAACCTTGGGACTAACACAGTAAGTCCGACTATGTTTCGGGTCGGGCTCGGGATTTGTCAAAAAAGCCCGGCCCGGCTTGCACCCCGGTCGGGCTTGGTCATGTAATTAGGCCCGCGGGCCTAACCTCGAGGCTAACATAGTAAGCCCGACTGTATTTCGGGCCGGGCTTGGGATTTGTCAAAAAAGCCCGGCTTGAGCCCGATTCAGAATTATATATTTTATAAAGTATATAATATATATTTTATATATTATATAAAATATATATTTATAATTTAATATATACATTTTTTATTCTTTTCTTTACAATTTCTCTCTCTCTCTCTCTCTCTTTCTCTCTCTCTATTCAACCGCTTCAGTAGTAGTAACAGTATGGGCTAAATTTCGGGCTCGGGCCCAGGCCTGGACTTCAGGCTTTTTATGAGGGCTGGGCTCGGGCCCAAATTGTAGGCCCGATAGTTGGACCGGGCTCAGGCTCGAGCTTTAGAAAAATCTGTTAACATAGAATAAAAACCCGACCTAGCCCATGAACAGGTCTAGTCACATGATGGTCCAATTAAAATAACAAAGAGCAGTAG